TTGATTATGTGTGTGTATGTGATTTAGATAATTTGGGTTAATCATAACAGTTAAGAAGAAAGGTTCCAGAAATAACCTGATCAATTCCACAAATAATCAAAGATGTGGATACTTCACACATCCACATTCTGAAGAGAGTATAAAGTTGACTATAAACTGAATCTCAATCAAGTATTACAGGATTATAGCTCATCAGGACAATGGATTGATAGAAAGAGTGTATACAGGAGAATTACACAATATAGCTTCTTCAACAGCATTCACATCACAGAATTAGTACTAATTTTCCGGTTTTCGAGAGTTTTTAAGCCTCAGAAAACAGAGGCAATTAGAAAAAGGAAATGGATTGAAGGCATTTGAGGAAATTGCCAACATGAGTACTGATATGAGGGGCCTTTGACAATTTAGTTCAAGACAACGAAGGAATTTCGGTACAAAAGAACTGATCATTAGTTGAATACCGTGCTGCACCTTGTCTCAAGGTTCAAGTGCTTCAAATTCGAGAATGATATCATTGAGTTGCATCTGTGAACAAAAAGCTTGAGATCCATTTCATAAAGCTTGTCACAAAGGGAAAGCAAGATGTGGTGATGCTGCTCTATAGACTAATCCGTGATTAGCTACAAAGCTTAACTATGAAATGGAAGGGCATTTTATGTGGTCAAGCTCATGATGAATCAATCTTGGTTGATGGAATTTTAAGAAGATGAGGATGATTAACAGCTCTACATGTTGCTACTCAATGGGGCTCACGTAATAACCAAATCTCATTCTACTCTGAACAAACGTGGCGTATGAGCAGAAGTTTTCTAACATGTTGGAGCTTGGTGGTGTGGCTGAATTTTGCTCAAAAAACCAACAAGACATTCTCCATGCATTGTGCCTGTACAGAGGAACTTGGGTAACAAGATTGTTTTTGAGGGTTGACCAAGACCTTGCTCTACAATACAATGGAAAAGGTTACACCCCATTGCACTTGGCAGCCATGCTGTCAGAATTCCAGTCCTTGAAGATTTTTGTTAAGTTTTCCAACTTCCTTTCAGTACCTGACATAAAAGGAAAAAACAGTATGTCATCTTTGCTGTTAAGTTCAAGTGGAAGTTTCAAGACTTGAGATAAAGAACAAAATAGTTTACACTTGAATTGATTTTAATTGTTACCATCTGAATGATGTTTATCAGTTAGCAATATATATTTTGAATAAAAAAAAAGAGAACATCAACTGCTGCAATTGTGAACGATACAGTGCTAAGTGATGTAGAAAGCAACCAGTTTAAGAAAGCCTTAAAGCCACAGAAAAACTCTCTCACCAGGGGTCACAAAAATGCTTGAAAACACCAAATGATTTGATATGGCAACGGTATAACTGCCCTTCACTTCCACTTTGCCAGCAGCCAGGAGTTGTGCCTGCATCAAGCTCAAGCTGTCAGCAAAATCTAAAAAAGATTCAGGCGAGTGTTAAATCGAAGAAAAATATGTGATAGTCATGACAGTACCCTAATAAAACCACAGATCCAGAAGCAAAACTGGATATGCTCACCACCTGGCCTCGACACAAGCGTGTCATTGAATCTTGTGGCCTCTTGCCTACTCAAGCATGCAACCAGTGTGAAAGAGGATTTACTTGAGCTTCCATCCCTAAATAAACCAGAAATTCAAGATGATAAGCCATTAGAACCAGTTGCCTTACAGAAGAAAAGATGAAATTCAAGATGAAATTCAAGAGGATTTACGGTTTCAGTGCTGTCCTCTGGAGAAGGCGCCTTGACAGTGTCTTTAACTCGGGACCAATTACTGATGAAGTAATTCTTCCTTTTCTGTCCATCCTTCTGAAGAATTTCAATTTGGGGAAAAGAATAACTGATGAAGTAAACTTCACAATGATCTCATCCCAAAAATTAAAGATAAGAAAGACACCTTTAGAAGAAAACCAACCTGTATTCAGACGGGTAGAGAAGTGAAAAATGTTTAAGACAATCCCCTACTCTTCCAAGTTGGTCAAATCCAGCCATTCTCTCAAGGAAGCCACAAAGCTTAAAGCCTTACTTTGGCGACTAAATTTTTGTGCGCCTCGAAATGAAAATATACCTGTAACGCTATAGTCATGAATTAATTGCATAATGAAATTTTTAAATGATACAAATATGAATAATGCCTATCATCAATTAATAATCCTCTTTGAAGAACACGAAGGAATTCTTGACAAAGAACTGATTACTTGAACACCATGTTGCAGCTTGCCTTCAGGCACTTCAAATTGGTGAAAGATATCATTGCGTTGCATCTGAAATGGTGCAACTGTGAACAAAAGCTTGAAACTCCTTTTGCATGAAGCTTTTCATCAGAGAGAGAGGATGTGGTAATCTGCCTTGGAGATTAAGCCTTCGACACAAACTTCACTGTGCTTGCGGCAGAGGATACGTGAGATACAAGATTGTTTTGTGGCTTGACCAAGGCCTTGTCTCTGCAATACAATGACAAAGGTTACACCCCACTGCACTTGGCAGCCATGCATGGAAAATTCCAATCCTCGAAGATTTTTGTTAAGTTCCCAACTTCCTTTCGTATCTGACATAAGAGGAAGAAACACTGTGTCATCTTGCTGTAAATTCAACCACTATGATGAACTTGTATGTCTGGAAAATTTCTTCATATCATCTAATCTTCTCCTTAAGAAAGATAAAATAGGAAACACCATATACATTGATGGATACCTACCCAAATCACTCACTGAAAACACACACCACAGCAGTCACAATGAATCAACCAGAATACACAACCAGAACTTCCCAACACAGGAAATACAGATATATATATATTGAAGATGAGAACTCTACACCAATTCAAGATAACCTCAACTCAATCAACATAAACAATGAAAGAAAAAAACAAAATAGATAAATGGTAACAACTAAGTAACTAGCCTGCTGGACTTCAAGGGCCAGCCACTCCCCTTTTCACTTTTCTTCTCTGGATAACCTCTAATTCTTCTGCCTCATTTTAATCTATTCATCTCTCTCCCTACAGAATTCCCAAACAACCATACTCCTACTGTCACCTGTTTCACACGGTCTCCCTCACATACACACACGCATAGGACCTAACAACAATTAATTCTCTATTGCCCCTTCCTACGCCTCCTATTATAGACCAGCAGCTCTTGTTTCATCATACTCTTGTAGTCTTTAGAGAGAACTGTTGGAGATCCATATCGACTAGGCACGCTTAAGCCAATAGGTTTATAAGAGTGTATATCCTCCCACTCAATAAGGTCTTTTGGGTAGAAGTTAGGCCTAACTCCAACAAGTGGTATCAGAGCCAGCCCCATTTGAGCTAATTGATTGACCAGCGGTCGACTGTCAACTACCTCCATTCATAGAGCAAGTGGACTATATGGCTTGACCGTGAGGGGGAGTGTTGGAGATCCCATATCGACTAGGCGCTCAAGCCAATGAGTTTATAAGAGTGGGCAATCCTCCCACTCAATAAGCCTTTGGTGAGGAGTTATGCCCAACTCCAACAGGAACTACCACTTAAGAATTTAAGTGGAAATGTTTCAAGATTTCAGATAAGAACAAAACATTTTGCGTTTTAATTGATTTTAATTAATACTAAATGATGTATTTATCTTGAAATGATTTCAGTTAGCCATGTACATTGTGATACAGCAAAAGAGATCTAAACTGCCGCAACCATAAAGGACATATGGTACTTGAAATTCTTGAACTGTCTCCAGGTAATGCAGAACAAGCAGCAAAGAAAGCCGTAAAGGCAGCTGCTGGTAAAAGTACAGAGTTGTTGCCTCTCTTAGCAGGGGCACAAGAAACTAATTCTCGACAGCAGACACTTGAAAACTCCAAAGATATACTGACAAAAAAACAGGAGCCTTCTTCATATCTGATTGATATAGGCAACGGTTGTGAGCTGCCCTTCGACTTCAACTCGCTACCAGCCAGAGGTTGTGCCTACACCAAGCTCACCATGTCAGCAAAATCTAGGAAGGATTCAGGTGATGTCAAATAAAAGAAAATATGATAGTCATGACAGGAGGTTGTGCCTACACCAAGCTCACCTCCTGGCCTCGACACAAGCGATCAGCAAATCTTATGGTTTCTTGCCCACACCAAGCACGGAACCAATGTCAACAAAGGATTTACTTGAGGTTCCATCCTTTGAAACCAGAAATTCTAGATGACAAGCCATTAGAACCAGTGTCCTTAACAGAACAAAGGATTTGTGCGATCTGAAAGAATTCAGGACGCTGAGTGATGTACACAGGAGAGAATGGAATCAACTTCCAAAAGTCGCAATAAAAAGCAACAGCATATGATATACATCGAGGCTCTACAAAATACCAGGAACACAATTAATGGTGGAATTTTGATTACCAAGTTACTTTTATGCAGGCACAAACTGGGGTCTTCCAAGAGGGCCATTGAAAGGAAAATCCACAGTCGCAGAACAACAGCTTTTAAGGTCTTTACAGTAAGCAACAACATTGCATTTTTCACATCTTTGTGTATTGTTGTTTTCTTAGTTAGCATCATCCCCTTTCAAAGAAAACAAATGATGAAAATGTTGGTGATTACTCACAAGGTCATGTGGGTGGCTGTGTTGTTCATGGCTATTGCTTACATTGCTGCAACTGGGTGACCACGCAAAATTGTAGAGAATCAGATGGATGTTTGAAGTTCTACTGGCTATCAGTGCTGGGACTGGAGGAACCGTGTTCGTGTATCTGGCAATTGTGCTGACAAGACATTGGTTAAGGAAGTTGAAGTGGAGGGAAGAGAAAGGTAAGAGGAGGAGAACAACTGCAACCATTCAGATAAAGCCAGTCCAACATGACATAAACGTAGCTGAGGAGAAATATTAAAGAAGAAATTGAAAAGATAATATAACAATAATTTGATTAAAAAAAAAAAGTGATGTCGTTCGTAGATTAGAAGTAATTACAAGGAGCATACATAAGTTATTACCTGTGGCTAGCGGGTTGATGTTTATTGCTGCCGTTTGATCCATTCATTATCGATTATGATATTAAGAGAGATCTTGTGCCAGTCCTCTCCTGTTCCCTCTTTGTATCGTTCACGTAGAATATCACAATGATAAATGGCCAATTCTTTGAGTGCTGTTCTCTGGAGAAGGCTGTCTGGAAGTGCCTTTAATTTGGGGCAATACTCAATTTGCAAGGTAGCAAGACAAGGCATAAATTTAATATGTTCCTTATCTTCTCCCTTCTTTGTATTGTGGTTGTCCCACTCTTCCCATTCGTGCATATACCAAAATTCAAGTTCTTTCAACTTGGGGAAGAAATAAGAGGATGAAGATGACGAAGAGGTTCCACTTTCCATTCCCCAAAACACATTATCCACTTTTTTCACATACATATTGTCTATATGTAGTCTTTCAAGGAATGGCAGTTTTCCCAGTGGATGCAAATTCTCACAATTGGAAACATTCTGAAGAAATAAAGACTTCAGCTTGGTTAATGACGTGATCCAAGTGGAGGGAAAAGTGTTGCCCCTGTAGTGTTCTATGTTCAGCCGCTCTAATTTTGGAGGTGGTAGTAAGGCTTCGAGGACTAATTCATAATCTTCACATGATACCCCTCCTCCAGAAGTTATCGGCTCCCAAACTACCGGCCCCTTCCTTTTCCACTTATGAAACTGCAGACTCAGACTAGTGAGGTTTTCCTTATTCGTAAGTAGTTGGTTAATTTTACCATCACTCGCAAATTTCACAAATCCCAACCCTCTTATTGTAAGGCTCCCTTCAAGATCATTCAAATATTTCAATCCTTCGAGACTACATGCTTTGCTGTCACTATCACCTTCACTACTTACAACGAATTCGCTCAATGTTTGAAGACCAGTTAATTTCTCAATCCCTTTCGGAATGTAAAGTAGTGCGTGACTCCAAACATTTGTTAATCGCCTCAAATTTACTAATTTGTCTATCCCTTGAGGTAATTCAACTAAATCACGACAATCACTAATGTCTAAAGTGTGCAAATTATATAATTCGCTCAAGCTTTCTGGTAATTGTACTATATTTTGTGAACTCAAATCAAGATACCTTAAATGAATCAATTTTTTTATATCTTTTGGAATCTCTTCAACTCTATATTTCGGGAATTTCAATGACCTTAAACACGTCAATTTACATAAATTTTGTAAAACATCACCGGACAATGCATTATAATCTCTGTCATCACTAATCATGAGGAGACTACGTAGACTTTTAACACTACAAATGGTCATGGGAAATGAAACCCCTTTATTAACCTTTAACATTAAATGACGAACATTTTTGTTAGAAGAGTTTATAAAAGGATCCTTATCACCAATATTGACTTCTATAGCAAGACATTCACCGTTACTCAAAAATAGTGCAAAGTCATTCACTATATCATGCATCTTACAACCCAATATAACATCTTTAGATTTTACAAATTCTTGGAAGAAAGATCGTGTAGCTAAGTGATGAAAATACTCTTCACCTATTGTCTCTAACTTTGGATCTTTTTCTAACCCCAAATAACCTTGCGCCATCCATAATCTAATTAATTTATCTTTTATTATATGGTGATCTTTTGGAAAGACAGCACAATAAGAGAAACATTTTCTTATCGAGGATGGCAAATCGTTATAACTCAACATCAAAGGGGATAGAAGACCCTTTTCAATCTCCTCTAATTTCCACATTTCACTATGTAAAACACGTTGCCATTCATCGCTACTCCTCTTAAACTGCAAAAGACTCCCGATGGTTTTTGTAGCAAGAGGTAACCCCTTGCACTTCTTAACGATTTCCCTACCAATTTCTTCTAATTTTTCACACTCATGAGTAGGTCTTTCAAAAAGAGCTAGTCTCCTAAATAGTTCCCAATTCTCTTCATATGACAATTCTTCAACATTGATAATATCAATTGACTTCATAATACGTGTTACCGACTCTTTACGCGTGGTAATTAAAATTTTACTTCCATGGAGACCGTTCTTCAAACAATGATAGAATGGTTCCCACTTATTGTAATCTTCATTCCACACATCATCTAAAATAAGAAGAAATTTTTTACCCGCAATAGAGTCATGAATACGTTGAAGAAGAAATTGTAGATCACCTACAATAGGAGTACTAGAATTTTCTAGAGATTGAATAATTGCTTTGGCAATCATGAGCTCATCAAAAGGATCTGATACGCACACCCATATTCTGATGTTAAAATTGCTCTTTACATCACCATTATTGTACACATATTGAGCGAGAGTTGTTTTTCCAATTCCTCCCATCCCTACAAGTGAGATGATTTGGAGGTTTTGTTCACTACTCTCACACAATAACCTGTTAATTAAATATTTCTTCTCAAAATCTCTACCACATATATCAGATACATTGATAAAAGTGGTAGTTTGTATTCGTTGATAATCAGGTCTCTCATTAGCTAAAATGATATTAAGATTATAATCACCTTTTTCTTTTGCAATAGCATCTAACTTTTTATTTTTCTCTGTTATTCTAACCGCAATATCATGACGTAAAACAACTTCTTTGAAGCCAAAGCAAGGAGAGGGAAAAAAGCAACATACCTTTTTCTTAGGAGCAAGAGCATTATGAACATGACCTCCATGAATTTTGAGTTTCATGATTTCAGTGTTCCACTCATCCAACACATCTTCCACGTCATAGCATGCGTCTTTGAGCCGATTCAACCAAACTCTCACAGCTCTATTCTTCATTTGTTTTTGGTCAGCATCAAGTAGCACAGCTTGAATGGCTTGAAGATTGTTCTTAAGTTTATCTACTTCTTCGTCAATGTCTCCCACTAGCCTCACCTGTTCTCCTATGAAGCTAGCAGTTGAAAGTAGAATTGAATCCAACAGCTCCAAGGAAACCGAAACAATTGCTTCAGCCATATTAAGATATGATCAATAATATGAAAGAGAAGAAATGGAGATATTTGTTTCGTTTGCTTTTGTGTTATAATTAGTGAATGCTGTCATATATATATATATTTTTATGCACTATCCTAAAATTATTGCATATGGTAGAAGTCAACCGCATTTAATTTTGAAATGTATTTTTTTTGTCCCAATATGTGTGAAAGCAACGTAATTGTTATTATTAATTTNGCCGTCTCTAATCTATTACTCTTTCTTTTCTGGTCGTCTCTAATCTTTAACTCTTTCTTTCCTGACCATCTCTAATCTTTAACTCTTTCCTTATTACTACTTTTCCTTTAATTAATTAACTATATTGGCTTTTCTAGATATTTAAATTCTGAATATTAAAATTTTAAATATAAATCAACGTACACAAAATGAATGATAGATCTCATACAAAATCTTTAATTCGGAACATAAATATGAATCACTTTTCAAATCCTCTCTAATTGTGGCCATCCAAGCCAATTGTGGCGAACCACGATTGAATATATATTAAATATATTTTAAGTAAAAAATAATTCATAAGGGTGCAGGTCTAAAGTGAACAATAAATCTATGGACAAATGTGTAATTGTCATAGTCAATAATGGCCAACCTATCTATTCAACAGCTAAAAGTGATGGCAAGTTCAAGGCGAGTCCATGGTAGTTTCGCAATTTCAAGAGCTCAAGTATTATTGGGAAAAATATGGTTAAATTATGATTTGTCATAACTAATAAATAGTTAGATTTTACGTAGCGGGTCTCTTATTTTATGTTAGCGAGGGACATTATTTGACCAGTCCTACATTGATTTAGTGAATAATTGTATGAAAATGTTTATATGTCAGTAGTTAAGAGCTTCTTTTGCTTTGTAATGGAATCTGTCCTCTTTCCTGGCTGTCTCTCTAATCTATAACTCTTTCTTTTCTGATCGTCTCTAATCTTTAACTCTTTCTTCCCTGACCGTCTCTAATCTTTAACTCTTTCCTTATTACTACTTTTCCTTTAATTAATTAACTATATTGGCTTTTCTAGACATTTAAATTCTGAATATTAAATTTTTAAATATAAATCAACATACACAAAATGAAGGATAGATCTCATACAAAAACTTTAATTCGGTAAATAAATATGAATCACTTTTCAAAACCTCATATTTTAAGGTAGCAAGAACAACATGAATTTTTAAAATATTAGGCGAATAAGACCATGTAAGAGCTTGAGTATGATTCTTAAAATATGCTTAATTTATTTAAACATGAATTATCCTATAACTTTTATCCATTTCTTTTGTTATTGTTAAGTAATATGACAAAACAATCTGACAGTTAGATTGTTTTGTCATATTAATTACCTACCTTATATTTTATTATATATTGTTAATAACATGAATACGACCTTAACCAACCATAACTTTTACTGGTTAGGATATATATTTTTGTAATAACATGATTAGGACCTTAACCTAACTTAAATTATATTGGCTAGCCAATTCACAGGTGATCTTAATTTAAACAATTATATAAAAATGTTTGTACAAGTGGCCAAATGAGTCGGCACTCATCTTCCCACCTGCCATGCCAAGCTAGCAGTGAGGGACATTATTTGACCAGTCCTATCCTACATTGATTCAGTATTTTAAATTTAATAAAACAAGTGGAGCTATTTATTTAAAAAACCCAGATGAAGTATAAGAAATCTTCACATATATTTTAAGGTAGCAAGTATACCTGTCCCAATATATAGGATATGTATTTCTAGTAACATGATTAGGATCTCAATTTAAACAATTAATAATCTGAATAATAAGTATATAAAATGTTTATATGTAAGTAGTTAAGAGCATCTTTTGCTTTGTAATGGAATCTCTCCTCTTTCCTGACCATTTCTAATCTATAACTCTTTCTTTCTTGGCCGTCTCTAATCCTTAACCCTTTCTTTCATGACCGTCTTTAATCTTTAACTCTAAGCATTTTCAAAACTAACATTGTGAAACACATGATGTTTACTAAACTTGATGGTTTTTTTCCTCAACTTATCTTCACAAGAGACTAGTGGAATAACCCACCATCACGGCCTGCCCTTTAAAACTCTAAGGATAACACAACTACTTGTGCGAAATAGTATGTTGCCTATGCATTTACTAATTTCTTAGACTTAATCGAATTGTGGGCTAGATTTCCTCAAACATTTTGGCCCATCAAATGATAGGCACTTTCAAACTATTTTGACCCGCAAAGACAACCCAACCAAACTCTTTACTCCTTGTTCATAATGCTGTCTATTCACATATTATTCATAAACTCTTTAACTGCATGAATTAATTTGTTAATGTTGAAGTGAAGGCTTGAAACGGTGTCATTTTGGGAGTTAGTTGTGCGCTATCGTTTTGGGCTCAGCTTAGTTGGATTCTGACCGTTGATCCAACATTGATCCCACAGCTGCAATCGTCAACTCTGGTCAACGGTATATAATCACATCAATTGTCAGATTTACACAATTGAAACCTTCCATCTTTATCGAAGCAAAATTCTTCTCTGAGGGTTTATGGTTTTGATCTGAAATTGTTGTAATTGTGAGATTTGAGTGATTAGGATTAGTCATTCTGTGAAGGTGTTATTGCTTTTAAGTTAGGGATTCGAGGGTGAGTATCTCTACGGTATAAGTTGCGGGTAGATTTCAGTTTAAGGGTTAAGAGATAAATCAATCTGTGTAAGGTTGTAATTGTTGGATCTTGAAGTAATATTAGAGCAGTGAGCTCCTCCAATTCCGAAGCTCAAGGTGAATGTAGTTTATCCAAATCTTGGATAAGTGAACCGCAGTAAATCGCTGTGTTGATTCTTTGTTTTGGCTGTTTGATTATTGTGTGTGTATGTGATTTAGATAATTTGGGTTAATCATAACAGTTAAGAAGAAAGGTTCCAGAAAATAACCTGATCAATTCCACAAATAATCAAAGATGTGGATACTTTCACATCCACATTCCTTGAAGAGAGTATAAAGTTGACTATAAACTGAATCTCAATCAAGTATTACAGGATTATAGCTCATCAATGGACAATGGATTGATAGAAAGAGTGTATACAGGAGAATTACACAATATAGCTTCTTCAACAGCATTTCACATCACAGAATTAGTACTAATTTTCCGGGTTTTCGAGAGTTTTTAAGCCTCAGAAAACAGAGGCAATTAAGAAAAAGGAAATGGATTGAAGGCATTTGAGGAAATTGCCAACAATGAGTCAATGATATAGAGGGGCCTTTGACAATTTAGTTCAAGACAACGAAGGAATTCTGGTACAAAAGAACTGATCATTAGTTGAATACCGTGCTGCACCTTGTCTCAAGGTTCAAGTGCTTCAAATTCGAGAATGATATCATTGAGTTGCATCTGTGAACAAAAAGCTTGAGGATCCATTTCATAAAGCTTGTCACAAAGGGAAAGCAGATGTGGTTATGCTGCTCTTATAGACTAATCCGTGATTAGCTACAAAGCTTAACTATGAAAATGGAAGGGCATTTTGATGTGGTCAAGCTCATGATGAATCAATCTTGGTTGATGGAATTTTAAGAAGATGAGGATGATTTAACAGCTCTACATGTTGCTACATCAATGGGGCTCACAGTAATAACCAAATCTCATTCTTACTCTGGAACAAACGTGGCGTATGATGCAGAAGTTGTTCATAACATGTTGGAGCTTGGTGGTGTGGCTGAATTTTGCTCAAAAAACCAACAAGACATTCTCCAATGCATTGTGCCTGTAGCAGAGGATACTTGGAGGTAACAAGATTGTTTTTGAGGGTTGACCAAGACCTTGCTCTACAATACAATGGAAAAGGTTACACCCCATTGCACTTGGCAGCCATGCATGTCAGAATTCCAGTCCTTGAAGATTTTTGTTAAGTTTTCCAACTTCCTTTCAGTACCTGACATAAAAGGAAGAAACAGTATGTCATCTTGCTGTTAAGTTCAAGTGGAAGTTTCAAGACTTGAGATAAAGAACAAAATAGTTTACACTTGAATTGATTTTAATTGTTACCATCTGAATGATGTTATTCAGTTAGCAATATATATTTTGAATAAAACAAAAGAGAACATCAACTGCTGCAATTGTGAACGAGATACAGTGCTAGAAGTGATGTAGAAAGCAACCAGTTTAAGAAAGCCTTAAAGCCACAGAAAAACTCTCTCACCAGGGGTCACAAAAATGCTTGAAAACACCAAATGATTTGATATGGGCAACGGTATGAACTGCCCTTCGACTTCCAACTTTGCCAGCAGCCCAGGAGTTGTGCCTGCATCAAGCTCAAGCATGTCAGCAAAATCTAGAAAAGATTCAGGCGAGTGTTAAATCGAAGAAAAATATGTGATAGTCATGACAGTACCCTAATAAAACCACAGATCCAGAAGCAAAAACTGGATATGCTCACCACCTGGCCTCGACACAAGCGTGTCATTGAATCTTGTGGCCTCTTGCCTACATCAAGCATGCAACCAGTGTGAAAAGAGGATTTACTTGAGCTTCCATCCCTAAATAAACCAGAAATTCAAGATGATAAGCCATTAGAACCAGTTGCCTTGACAGAAGAAAAGATGAAATTCAAGATGAAATTCAAGAGGATTTACGGTTTCAGTGCTGTCCTCTGGAGAAGGCGCCTTGACAGTGTCTTTAACTCGGGACCAATTACTGATGAAGTAATTCTTCCTTTTCTGTCCCATCCTTCTGAAGAAATTTCAATTTGGGGAAAAGAATAACTGATGAAGTAAACTTCACAATGATCTCATCCCAAAAAATTAAAGATAAGAAAGACACCTTTAGAAGAAAACCAACCTGTATTCAGACGGGTAAGAGAAGTGAAAAATGTTTAAGACAATCCCCTACTCTTCCAAAGTTGGTCAAATCCAGCCATTCTCTCAAGGAAGCCACAAAGCATTAAAGCCTTTACTTTGGCGACTAAATTTTTGTGCGCCTCGGAAATGAAAATATACCTGTAACGCTATTAGTCATGAATTAATTGCATAATGAAATTTTTAAATGATACAAAATATGAATAATGCCTATCATCAATTAATAATCCTCTTTGAAGACAACGAAGGAATTCTTGACAAAGAACTGATTACTTGAACACCATGTTGCAGCTTGCCTTCAGGCACTTCAAATTGGTGAAAGATATCATTGCGTTGCATCTTGAAATGGTTGCAACTGTGAACAAAAGCTTGAAACTCCGTTGCATGAAGCTTTTCATCAAGAGAGAGAGGATGTGGTAATGCTGCTCTTGGAGATTAAGCCTTCGACACAAACTTCACTGTGCTTGCGGCAGAGGATACGTGGAGATAACAAGATTGTTTTTGTGGCTTGACCAAGGCCTTGTCTCTGCAATACAATGACAAAGGTTACACCCCACTGCACTTGGCAGCCATGCATGGAAGAATTCCAATCCTCGAAGATTTTTGTTAAGTTCTCCAACTTCCTTTCAGTATCTGACATAAGAGGAAGAAACACTGTGTCATCTTGCTGTAAAATTCAACCACTATGATGAACTTGTATGTCTGGAAAATTTCTTCATATCATCTAATCTTCTCCTTAAGAAAGATAAATATGGAAACACCATATTACATTGATGGATACCTACCCAGAATCACTCACTGAAAACACACACCACAGCAGTCACAATGAATCAACCCAGAATACACAACCAGAACTTGCCCAACACAGGAAATATCAGAAATTATATATATATTGAAGATGATGAACTCTACACCAATTCAAGATAACCTCAACTCAATCAACATAAACAAGTAAAGAAAAAACAAAAATGAAGATAAATAGGGTAACAACTAAGTAACTTAGCCTGCTGGACTTCAAGGGCCAGCCAACTCCCCTTTTCACTTTTCTTCTCTGGATAACCTTCTAATTCTTCTTGCCTCATTTTTAATCTATTCATTCTCTCTCCCTAACAGAATTCCCAAACAACCATACTCCTACTGTCACCTGTTTCACACGGATCTCCCTCACATACACACACGCATAGGACCTAACAACAATTAATTCTCTATTGCCCCTTCCTACGCCTCCTATTATAGACCAGCAGCTCTTGTTTCATCATACATCTTGTAGTCTTTAGAGAGAACTGTTGGAGATCCCATATCGACTAGGCACGCTTAAGCCAATAGGTTTATAAGAGTGGATAATCCTCCCACTCAATAAGGTCTTTTGGGTGAGAAGTTAGGCCTAACTCCAACAAGTGGTATCAGAGCCAGCCCCATTTGAGCTAAGTGATTGACCAGCGGTCGACTGTCAAACTACCTCCATTCATAGACAAGTGGACTATATGGGCTTGACCGTGAGGGGGAGTGTTGGAGATCCCATATCGACTAGGCACGCTCAAGCCAATGAGTTTATAAGAGTGGGCAATCCTCCCACTCAATAAGGCCTTTTGGGTGAGGAGTTATGCCCAACTCCAACAGGAACTACCACTTAAGAATTTAAGTGGAAATGTTTCAAGATTTCAGATAAGAACAAAACATTTTGCGTTTTAATTGATTTTAATTAATATCTAAATGATGTATTTATCTTGAAATGATTTCAGTTAGCCATGTACATTGTGAATACAGCAAAAGAGATTCTAAACTGCCGCAACCATAAAGGACATATGGTACTTGAAATTCTTGAACTGTCTCCAGGTAATGCAGAAAGCAAGCAGTCAAAGAAAGCCGTAAAGGCAGCTGCTGGTAAAAGTACAGAGTTGTTGCCTCTCTTAGCAGGGGCACAAGAAACTAATTCTCGACAGCAGACACTTGAAAACTCCAAAGATATACTTGAGACAAAAAACAGGAGCCTTCTTCAATATCTGATTGATATAGGCAACGGTTGTGAGCTGCCCTTCGACTTCAAACTCGGCTACCAGCCAGAGGTTGTGCCTACACCAAGCTCAACCATGTCAGCAAAATCTAGGAAGGATTCAGGTGAGTGTCAAATAAAAGAAAAATATGATAGTCATGACAGGAGGTTGTGCCTACACCAAGCTCACCTCCTGGCCTCGACACAAGCGCATCAGCAAATCTTATGGTTTCTTGCCCACACCAAGCACGGAACCAATGTCAACAAAGGATTTACTTGAGGTTCCATCCTTTGAGAAACCAGAAATTCTAGATGACAAGCCATTAGAACCAGTGTCCTTAACAGAAGCAAAAGGATTTGTGCGATCTGAAAGAATTCAGGACGCTGAGTGATGTACACAGGAGAGAATGGAATCAACTTTCCAAAAGTCGCAATAAAAAGCAACAGCAATATGAGATATACATCGAGGCTCTACAAAATACCAGGAACACAATTATAATGGTGGCAATTTTGATTACCAGAGTTACTTTTACTGCAGGCACAAACTGGGGTCTTCCAAGAGGGGCCATTGAAAGGAAAATCCACAGTTCGCAGAACAACAGCTTTTAAGGTCTTTACAGTAAGCAACAACATTGCATTTTTCACATCTTTGTGTATTGTTGTTGTCTTAGTTAGCATCATCCCCTTTCAAAGAAAACAAATGATGAAAATGTTGGTGATTACTCACAAGGTCATGTGGGTGGCTGTGTTGTTCATGGCTATTGCTTACATTGCTGCAACATGGGTGACCACGCAAAATTGTAGAGAATCAGGATGGATGTTTGAAGTTCTACTGGCTATCAGTGCTGGGACTGTAGGAACCGTGTTCTTGTATCTGGCAATTGTGCTGACAAGACATTGGTTAAGGAAGTTGAAGTGGAGGGAAGAGAAAGGTAAGAGGAGGAGAACAACTGCAACCATTCAAGATAAAGCTCAGTCACAACATGACAGAACTAATGCTGAAGGAGAAATCTATTCAGAATCCACCATCTCAGATGTTGACAGTTCCACCATTAGGATATCATGCATATTGAAAATTTTAAATCCACAAAGAATAATGTTAAGTCTTTCTTTTCTTTTCATCTGGAGAAGGGTGAATATTGAGTGTCAAACAAATTGGATAGTTCTGCTAACTGCTATGTTAATATTTACGACCAAAACCTTTCAGAATTAGATTCTTCAGTTCTTCAATATTGCATAGAATTTAGCTGCAGGTAGTGATTTAACGAATATTGAAAAAGTTTAAGCTAGGTGGCTTACAGTTCCAGTCTAAGTGTTCAGTCAGAGCTAATGAGTCTAATGACAGGTGAAGCATGAAAACTGCAAGTTGCAAATCTTGCACATTTATCCCATTAAAAATTTTCATTCACCATTCGGTTATAGAATTAGCATTTCAATAAAAATTCAAGTCCAAATATTCCTTCTGGATATTTACATACACAAGTAGTCAGAAATTTGTTGCAAGTAAACATGGTAACAAATCATTAAGAAACAGATCTTGCTTCCAGAGTTAAATCGATACTATAAATAAACAGTTATTACAAGAACATATCAGCATAATTAGCAGTGGTAGCATTAATGAATAATTTAACCAGTCAAAATTTTCTGTTATATGCATATTAACTAAGCTTAAATAAAAAAACGAAGAATAGAGAGAAGTTACCAAGCATAACTAACCGGTGTATGATCGTTGGTTTGCTTCCTGGCACTGTTCTTCAATTGTAAGTACCATCATTTAGAATGAAATCTGTAAGGGTAATCATCTTCTCTTCTATGTAGTGCGAGCTTCTGCAGTAAGACGTGAAATATTTGTTTAGGGATTGAAAGTTGAAGCCTTGAATATAAAATTCCATGTCTTAATAATTCAATTGTAACTAAGCTTTGAATGTACTTAAAACTAAATCAGACAAATAATAATTTGTTTAGGGACGGAGGTTATGTTATATATTCCACAGCACATTGTTCCTGTCTATCTTGTGCAGCATGATAACACTCTGTATATGAAATTAGATGTTTGGTTTGAATAAGTAGCATTGTCTCCAAATTACGAGGAGAGAAAGATTAACTCACTCAAATATTTTGATAGATAAACTTCTCAATGAAAGCTACTTTGCGAATGCCTGGAATTTGCAGCACTGCCTTCCTTGAATTCTGTGCGACCTTTCCAAGGAGGCTTCGCAGGACTTTGCTTGCACTTGGTGAGGACTTTCCAGGTGGTTCCTCTCTTCTTAAGCTGCTCACACTCCGCTGTTTTATCTCTTGTAGACCACAAAGCATTAATGCATGGTTAATACTATTAAGATTTGGAATGGTAAAAAGTATGGATAATAAATCAAAGACTATATAAATGCCATGCTCCAATATGTTAGCTGCATGGTTCCAGAGTTGTCCTCTGGAGAAGATGCCCAAAGAAATGAACTTACCCTGTAGTAACTCCGGGCAGTATCCAAATGCTGACGAATGAAGTCATGACATGATTGTAATTTGGAGAACTCAGACTGGTGAGGAATGAAGAATGGGCACTTTTTTCATCTTCCTTGATCCTTCANAGATGCTGAGTCAGCTCAATCTCACACAAGCAACATGGATCTGGATGTTGACACCCAGTTAGCTCAATTGATCAACAACTACATGGATGTGGACATCGAGTCAATTCAATCGGTCAACAACTACATGGACGTCAACACCGAGTCAGCTCAGTTGGTCAACAGCTACATGGATGTTGACACTAAGTTAGCTCAATCGGTCAACAACGACATGGATGTTGACATCGAGTCAACTCAGTCAATCAAGAGCTACATGGATGTCAATTCCGAGTCAGAATATGATAACAATGGCAATCTTAGGCAAAAGATGGAAGGATTTGCTCTTTTGAGTTTGTTGTTAGCATTTCTATTGGTGCTAAAAGTATACTCTTCTTAGGTCTTTTATATCACTTATAAAAGATGGGCTAACTTCTAAATGTACTGCCCTACTCTCCATGGTGATTTTTATTATATTCACTTTGTTAGTAAATCTTCCAACCACAGGGTGCGTGTATGTCAACACTAAGAGTGTATTTAAGGTATTGAGGAAAGGTCAGCGGACCAGACTTAATGCACCCTTACAGTTTTATCTTATCTTCTACCTAGATTTACTAAGTTCACAGTTTCTAAGATTTTAATTTTGATGCTATGCAAAATGTAAAATGCGCCTTTGATAACTCACACTAGCTTTGAACGTTAAGGGTTTCATTTTGTAGCAATAATGACATTGCTTGTCAATTGTCATGAGACACTAAAAAGAACTATTACTGGATGTATGACTGTTAATATATATCTTTCATTTTCAACGCTGCTACAACTGCCAGTTACAATACTTGTTGAGCTCCAAATCTTTTGGATTAGCTACAACTCATTTAAAGTTTTTTTTTTTTTTTTTTAAATTATAGAAGAGGTATACTTACCTATGAGGGTAAGGATCAATTAGATGGGAGCTAAAAATCACTTCCGAGTTCAAATTTCAAGAAACCCAAAGTCAAAATATCTAACTGAAATAGCCCAATAAAATGAGACCACATGTTCAAGGGAAAATAAAGGCAGGCGTAGTGTTACTTGAGCCCCTTAAATATCTTTTTCAGCCCCATTTTAACTAAAAATTATTACATTATATTATGTTCCAAAATGGCCTTATCTTCTCCCTGTCTAACCTTTAATGGGTTTTAAATAATTTATAATTCTAAGATTTAATGGATTCTAAATAATACTGAACCCCATAATTAACAAAACAGTCTAAAATGAGAATAAAAATCACAATAGATAGAGAAAATACTACAGAAGCATGATTAATTAACCAACGTAAAGAAACTAGTTGTTTATAGACTAGCCGTGAGTTAAAAAAAGAAAGATATGAGATTAAAGAGATAATTTGATTGTTCTTCATATTTTATAAATTCTAACAAACGAAAAACTCATAAGATTCAAACTTGTAATTTTCTTTTACTTTTATGTGATGTCAAATGGAATTTACTTATTGTGGGGTAGGTTTTTTTTTTTATAACTATGTCAAATTTTTTTGCATACGATGTTATTTGAAATTACATGTACGAAGGTTAAGATAAGAGAGGAAGAAGATAAGGCTAGTATTGAGATAAGGTGTGTTTAATTTTATTTGATTAATTTAATTTAAAATGTAGCTTAAAAAGAGCTTCAATGACCTCAAGTAACAACACTCTAAAGGCAGACCAAATATACAAAATGTCTAACAAGTAACGATCGAACAAGCCCTCTATTCAAGCAACAAAATTGAAGCCCTATATTAAGGGCATGTTATGAGTTCAAATCCTACAAAGACCCAAATTAATGATGGGGTTAAATAACATTTCCTTAAGCTTAGACCAAATACAGGAAAAGTCCAACAAGACCATATGGGCCAAGTAAGTTCAACAAGGGGTGAAATCAAGCCGAGCTGCTCTAGGCTGAATTTTGACTCAAACTTGGCTCGGCATTAGTCGGGTCGAGTTCAAATTCGAGTAGTTCGAGTAGTCATTCAAGTCGAGTTTGATCACAGTAGAACTCGAACTCGAACTCGATTGAAGTTCGAATACTCGAATTCGATTGAAGCTCGAATTTGATTCAAGCTCATATTCTCGAATTCCACTAAAACCCGATTATACAAACTTGAATTCTAATTTCAGGTGCCGAGTTCGAGTTTGAGTTCGAACTCGATTTCTTAGGCTTGAACTCGAATTTAAATTGAGTTTGATTAACCAGATACTTGACTTGACTCAATTTCATCTCTGGCCAAGTCCAATGCAAATGACATAATCCAAGCCCAAATTTATAATGACATTTGAACAAAGGAACAGCAACAAAAAAAAATGTTCTACAACCCAACACATGCTAATGCATTCAAACTAATGTACAGAAATCATACCTTTTTCAAACATTTAAAAAAAAAAAAAAAAAAAAAAAAAAAAAAAGAGACTGACCTTTGTGGAAGACGAACTCTTGACTATATGTGGAGGACAAATTACCCATGAATGTATTCAAATGAAACTCTGAAAATCAAAAACAGACAATAAACTTCCACTTAAAGGTGAGTAATACAACTACCCCAAATAAATTCTTCATAGAAAAGATCCGACCATTAATAAACAAAGAAGATATGTCACAATAAAAACTATAAAAGAGATGGAGATTAAAAAAAAGCTGTGTAGCTTTTAGGTGTTAATTTTTGGAGCGTTGAAGAAAATATACTTACTAATCAAAACCTTGTGTTGAACAGAGATTCAGATGGTTCCCGGGATGAGAATATCATATTTCCTTTGCCATCTAAAAAATTGATATTTCCTTTATTCATGAACAGATATAATAAATTTGCCATCTAGAAAGCTGAGATTTTCTGAAAATAATTTCCCGTCTTCATAATCCTCTTAGCTTGAAACCAAAGATTTTTTTGNACTAAGTTCACAGTTTCTAAGATTTTAATTTTGATGCTATGCAAAATGTAAAATGCGCCTTTGATAACTCACACTAGCTTTGAACGTTAAGGGTTTCATTTTGTAGCAATAATGACATTGCTTGTCATGAGACACTAAAAAGAACTATTACTGGATGTATGACTGTTAATACATATCTTTCATTTTCAACACTGCTACAACTGCCAGTTACAATACTTGTTGAGCTCCAAATCTTTTGGATTAGCTACAACTCATTTAAACTCACTCGGTTGTCATCAAGTTATGGTCCATTCGAACATTTTCCGGTGCTTTTATGATTATTGCTGGGTTACCCCCCAGTAACCTTACAGGCGAATTGACTGTGTTCTAAGACCATGATTCAAGGGCTGCTCACTAAGGTAAAGGTCGTATGATTCTGATTTTATACTTGTTTTTTCTGCTGGGAACAAAATGAAACACAGGCCTAATATAGGAAAGATCCAACAAGGGTCCATAACTGCCAAAATGTTGAAGAACACCAAGTTTGACCAAGTGACCCAGTCCAAGCATGCATGAATAAGTTCAGATTCCAAGAAAGCCCAAAATAAAAATGACAATTGGACAACCTAATATCAAACTAATAACCTCATAACATAACAAAGGATAAGAATAGCCCAAATAATGAGCCCAACCAACAAAAGATGGTAGATCAAATTTAAAGAAGCCTAACAAGAGTCATAACACAGGAATTGGTCAAAAGGCACCAAACACAACACAAATGATGCAAATCTAAGCCCAATATGTCAGGGATATATCATGAGTTCAAAGGGAAGTGATTTTTAGCCTCCACTTAATTGATCTTCACCCCCCACTTTTAAATTTATTTTATGTTTTGACAAACTTAACGTTAATTTAAATTAATAGAAATAACATTATAACTTTTAATTACACTCAAACTTTATTTTATATTTTTGCTTTAATTTGTAACATCAACTTTTACATAAACCCTAACCCTAAATTTTCACAATCATGGAAAAAACCCTAACCCTAAATTTTCACAATCATGGAAACCTTTTGTTTTATTTTAAATAATTTTTCATTTGATGAGATATAATACTAAAACTATGGAAAACATAACGAGATAAATCCAAATCTGAATTTGAAGAAGAAAACATAAGTTGAACCTAGAAAAAAGAGAAGGGGGGGGGGGGGGGGGGGGNTAGTTTAAGAGGTGAGGATACACGCTGGCAAACTTTTCAAAATTTCCCTCTCAGACTCAGAGATCTTGTTGATCCTCCTCTTGGGTCAAAATCTTCTTCATCTCCTTCTTCTTCTTCATGTCAAGAGCCGAACAAGTTTTAAATACTCATTAGTTTCAGAGATCTTGATCCTCCTCTTGGGTCTTGATCATCCTCCTCTCAGCCGGAAACATGAGAACAGAAACCAAAATAACTTTTAAGAACAGAAACGGTGATTCAGCGGCCGAACCCATCTACCATCAAAAAAATTTCAAAGATGAGAGAGAACTAAATCCGTACCCAGGTCCCAGGTGGCTCTCCGATGAAAACAAGCTTCTCACTTCTCAGTAAGAAAAATCTGACGTAGAATAGGTTGCGGGCCCCGCTGTTGTCTGCCACATTCAAACCAATGAATCATGTCATTTTTTATTTATTATTTTTTTAACGTAAACTGATCTGAAAATCGGGCCGGGACTCTATCTAGGCAAAGGCCCGGTTTCCGATTTTCATGGGTGGACCAGTCGGTCGGTATGGATATATGAGGTCAATATAGGCTACTCATGGCAATGTCAAATATTTCCTTACACAGTTGATGACTATCAAAGGAACACTTGGTTGTTTCTTATGTAATTCAAGTCAGACACGTTTACCACCATCAAACAATTCCTTCAAATGGTTCAAATACAGTATCATTTGATTTCGAAATATGATAGGACTGATAATGGTTTAGAATTCTTTAACAAAGCTTGTCATGATCTGTTGAGTAGTGATGAGTGCTTGGAACTGCACTCATACTTAGTGATTTTAAGGGTATTTTGTGAGGAAATTGGGTTTAATTAGTTAATTTTACTTAATTTATGTATCTCTTTTGTTTTCTAGAATCACGGGTATGTTTTGTGAATTTTCAGGTGTTTATATATTAACAAATGAAGATTTCAAGCATGGACATTGAAGATGAAAGAATCATAAGCGTGTAGGAACAAACGGTTCGAGAATCGAAGCTCAAACGAAAAAGTTATGGATTTTTGAAAATTGTTCACCGTAGTGGAACAATTCCCACACCGTAGCATAAAATTGCAAAATGGACAGAAACTTCATGCCGCAACGCCAATAAATCATGCACAACGCAATACAGGAAATTTATGTTCAGAAATTTTTCTACCAGAACATGCTGCAGGAAAATAATCATAACTTGAGCTACACAACTTCGATTGACCTGGTTCTGGTGGCGTTTTAAAGCTAAGAGATAGAGCTACAACTTTTATGATCATGGCACAGTTTGACCTGGAAGATAGTTAAAAATGGAGACGCAAATTACGTTAGTGCTTGGAGATGTGCAGATTTGTTATTATGCATTTTTAATTGAAGTATAACTTTTAACCATAATACCCTCACAACTTTAATATTATAAATAGATGTCCTTAGCAATATTTTAGGGAGTTAGGGTTTTTAATATCAAATATAATTTGGAAGAAGAAAGGAGAGGAGATCTTACCTAGGGTTTCATCTTCTTCTTCTTGTACTTCATGGTTCTCAAGATTGTGAGGTTTGATTTCCTTATACTCATGTGTAACTAAATACTTTTATAGGGATCCAATGTAGCCTAATAAGAAAGTTTTATGTCTTTATTAATTCTATTGATCTTATCAATCCATTGCAATTCTAGTTTTATTCATTATCCTTTATTCAATCTTTAATTGATGTTATTGCTTGATCACCTTTAATGTTAATTAATTGATTGTGTAAGACAAGGTTAGACTACACACCCTAGCTAATCTTGAATAGCTCGTGTGAATGAATGATTAGTATTTTGTGCATACGCCTTGACAGAATGCTAATTAGTTCATGATTTCTTGAATGATTAGTATTTGTGCATATATCCTGACAGATGCGCCTTTATTCTTGATTTCGAGTGCTCTTGTGTTTAATGGGTTTTTAATCATTAGGCTAGACTATACACCCTAGTTAGTCTTGTGTTAAAGATACTAGGTTAATCCCAAACGTCTTACGATAATACCTTAATTATGTGAGTGCGAACCCTGGAAATTGGATTGTGATAACAATAGTTTGATAGTTGGCATAAAATTGGATTATTATGGTGAAATTGGATACCTAGGTTATAGTTCATTGGTTCTTAAATTAGTTTTTATTGGTGTTATTTTGGCTTAGTTAGTAGTAGTTAATTTTTATTTTCTTTTTACATTTAGTTTTAACCACTAGTTCTTTAATTTGCTTGAATTTATTTGTTTAATTAATGCATAGTTATTAGGATTACTTAATAGCTTACAAATCTCTATTGGATTGACCCTTGCTTTTGTACACTATACTGCGATAGCGATTCGTGCACTTGTGAGGAAGTAAAATTGTTCATCAAGTAGTTAGAGCATTGTTCATCAAAGTTCTTGTGCATATTCTCCTAAAAAAAAATGGTATTGTTGAGAGAAAGCACAAACACATTTTAAAGGTTACTAAGACCTTAAAAATACATTCCCACTTATTTTTGGGGTATCGTGTGCAAGCAACAGTATACATCATTAATAGGCTTCCTACTTTGGTTCTTAAAGGTTTATCTCCATTAGAAATTTTTTTCTTTTTTTTTGCAAAACCACCTCTATTGGATCATTTAAGAGTAGTTGGATCTTTGCCTTATGCAACAATCCTTCCTTTTATGGATAAACTATCCCCAAGGCTATTCTCTCACACAAAAATGACAATTTGTCCTCTCATTCTGTAATGGATGTTGTTTTCTATAAAAACATCTTCCCTTTTGCCTTGCCTAAATCTTTCCATGTTCCTTCTCCTATTGATTCTGATTTTCTTGTTTTAGAGTCCAATCATTCACCTTATTTAGATAATGGTCCAACTATTGTCCAAACTTCAGATTCTACAGCTTCTATTGTTCCCTTAGTTTCTCCTTATTCCTCTAATCCTGATTCTATTCACACAACTTTAGATTTTTTTTCATTCTCCTGCCGTCCCTCATATTTCTCCTCTTGTTCTAAGAAGGTCCAATAGACATACTAATCCAGCCATTTGGACTCATGATTTTGTTCATAGTGTTTGAGAGTTGAGATTGTGGAAGGAGACAATCTGACCGTCTATATTACATCACAACATAGGGCATACATATTAATTCAATTTACGTATATATTTTCTGATTTATAACCTAAGCTATAATTTAATTTAAAAATAAATAAATAAAGCTGCTCTCAAATTTAATAGATTAGTTGTTGACTTGTGAAATTATCCAAAAATATGTTTCATATTAAGTTTAAATTAAAAGTTTTGTATTAGTATTTAACATTTTATTATGAAAAGAGTGGAAATAATATTCTTTTGTTTTCAATTGTAAGTATTATTATTTATATGACAAATTAATAAGATAATAAAAGAATCGGTTTAAGTCCCAGGTCGATCAGTTTAGCAGTTTGGTATTATTTTACCTGTCTGTTATTAGTCCAAAGCGATGTTTAGACAATTATCGGGTCTTACATTGAACCGGATTGGAGTTGGGGCTGGTTTGACGAGAAAATGGTGGAAATTGAAAAGTGAGGAACAATCCAGGAATTTGGTAATTGGTTTTAGACTTGACCTTTTTCTCTTTCTTTTATGAGCCATTGAATTAGATGTTTAATAGCATGAATTAGTTAATTTAGAATTTGATACTGATTTTTTGTTTGGTTTTGTTGTATGTTAACAGCCGCTCAGACTTGAAATCAAGTCTTTGGTTTTCAATGGCTAGGGTTTTCTTGTATAGATCGCAGGGG